TCTAAAACCATTAGTTAAACATTATAAAATTCATGTTTGCCCTTTCTAATAAATGGCATAATGGGCCTTTAATCAATAAATAATGAAGGGAACTATTGGATTCTGTATTAACCATTTCAACTATATTGTGCAGTGCCTTGATGATTTGTTTGTGTGCTAATTTATTTTCCTATAGTTTGCTTTATGTGAAATTTTATATCTAAGTTTCTAAAATGTCTTTAGATCAGTTTTGTTCACTTTTTGTTTTGCAACTTATTTATTACCCCCCCCCCTTGCCGCTTAGGGAAAGGGTTATAGGAATCTGTTTGCAAAATATCGTGTCAGCTCCACTACGTTCCAGCTGCTAATACTAGTTTTTAAAAGAGGGCCATTATGGCCCTGTATCGCTTACTTGAGAAATATTTCTGGGAAAGGTCACAATTCTACGATCCAAAGGTCAGTAATAAGATCACATTAAGTTGTCATTTTTTAAAAGGTTAAACATTTGTATATGTCCAATAAGCAATACAACATGCCAAATATCAAAGCATTTGGCATTGTAATTTTACAAAAGAAGCTTAACATATGTTTTACTATGTAACTCTACTAAAACTTAATGACCTTATTAAGAGTAGACTTTTGACTCCAAGTGCAATCCTTATGTTTCTTTTGAAAAGGACTCTACAAAAGTAATATAAACCATGGTTGTGGGGTAACAATTGGCCCTACCCAGGGGGTCACTTAGTTAATATTGACTTGAATATAGGAAAATAAATTTAAGTATTAACTACAATGCTAAAAGCTTAGACAGATATTCATCATTGGGAATTCTAAAAGATATCTCTTTAAATCAGCTAGGGTAAACATGATAAACCCAAGGTGACCTCATTTCTGACTTTAAATCAACACTGAACAATTAAAATTAGGACCTTTTCAGGCAGTATATATCAGGCGAGCGGGCCAGGGCCATCAGGCCCTCTTGTTTTCTTATTTATCATGGAAAATACTAACTTACAATATTACTGCATTTCTAAACATATTTGATAAAATGATGCAAAGAAATTTCAACATTAATTTCAATAGCTTTAAATTTTGTGTATCTACCCCATCCACACAGTTACATACTAAAAGGACAATTTAAGTAGAGCACATTTTCGAAAAAAACGAAGCCTAATTCTTAATGTCGGATTTTATATTTAATGATAAAATATGCATTAAATATTTTGAGGGAAAAAAAGAAAGTGCAAAAATTGACTGTTAAAACATTAAGTGGTTTTAAATTGAAGAAATTACTTTTCCTCATATTTCACACCTTGGGCATTGTCTATTCAGCAATGACTCTTTAATTTTTTATAAAGAGTAGATTCAAGTCTTTTAGACAGTCAAAATATAGTAATCTGGAGTTTTTTTTTAATTTAAATAAAATTATTATTGTACCCCACCCACTTAGAAATCGATTATCCTAAACATTATACTAAAATGATTACTTTCATTGGTACATTTTGTTTGTAAAAAGTTGTTTTCTGTAAATAAGTCACATGGAAACAAATCATTATTGATTTGCAAAAAAAACAACACAAAAAACGTATAGCACATATTAAAAAAGCAACAATTTTATTAAATATTTCGCCAGGATTATCTGTTTTTATCTTAATAAAACTAAATTTAAGGAATATTTTTTTTTTATTTTAGAATGTTTAAAACAGCTATGTTTAATATTTAAATGCTGGTAAATTTAAGTAATAAATAATAAATGGTGAATTTCATATCTTTGGCGGCCATCTTGGACGCCATCTTGGATTTCATAGTCCCCCAGCACTTATGGCAAAAACGAAATCCAATTTCGTGATCTAGGGACCATACTTAACATTTTGGTATATGAAACCCCCTGTTTATGATTGGGGACCGGTTTCTCCCCTAAAATAGCGATTTTTGGAGCCTATATGTCTCCTAAACTGAGGTGATTTAAAAGATAAAAGGGAATAAGCTGTTCATTATCAGGAATCAAGGTGCATTTTAAGTAAAATTAAAAAAATTAAAGTTTTATTGGGAAGTTGACAAACTTAAGAATCTCAATCTTGATTCAAATAAAAACAACTCATAAAAGCAAACATATTCAAGACAAAAGAGGAATCAAGGAAAGAAAAATGAAGGACATAGGACTTAGGAGTTAGAAGAAGAAGAAAAGCATACAGAACAGAGTAAGGTTTGCTTTAGTAGATATATTAGAATTAAGTATAAGAAATAATTATTTTTAGATCTAAATATTAGTAAAAAGATATTGAGAAGTGTCTTCAGTTTGGAATTATTTTTAATGCTGTTCGATCATTAGTGATGTTTTTTCAATATTTTGCATGGGCAATAAAATAGCCTTTATTGACGTTTAACTATTTTGATATATGCATAGTGATTTACCATAATATGGGTATTTGTAGACTAAGCGATGTGCGTAGACACCTATAAAATAGAATATCCGAAACCCGGAAGCAAGGATTTGTGGGAGTGTCATGGGGAATTCTGAGAAAACTTCTTGAAAATACGCATTCTTGTGCTTTTTCAAAAGTATTGTACAATACCAAAAGTTGTAACAAATAAATAAGAAATAAAGAACAAATGTCCGTTCCGACCACTCTGTATGTCTCTTTAGTCGGTGATGAGTACATATCTTCAATTGAACTTTAGTATATTTTAGTTGTTTATCTGTTAATGCAATTTAATCAGAGTTGAGATTCTTATAATGTAAAGCTTCTCAACATTAATCTCAATTATCATTTAGAACCAAAAAAATCAAACACTTTTACTTTTACTTAAATTAATAAGGCATCATTTTTCAGTAGGTGTTAACAGTTTGCTCGCAAACACACAACTTGATTTGACTTCAGAAATTTCTGGCTAACACTCTACTGCTTAAGTATAATCCTTACTTTAGATTCCCCTTGTCTAAGTATGCTTTTGAGGTTTTGTGTTGCAGATCTATGTCAGATAGACTTCATAACTGAGCCTCACAGCATACTCGAAGGCATATTGTCTATGTGTTCCGGGTCGTATTATCTATACGAGCAGAAAATAGTCTGAGACGAGATTTTCGCTTATTTATGTAAAAGATAATAAACTAAATCATAGTGAAATTTAAAAAAGTCTTAGAACAAATATAAAATTTAATAAGATTTTATTTGATTAACTGTATTATGTTTACTAGCTGAAATCATTGTCCTAATCGTTTGTCAAAATCAATAAGCCAGATAGTTTGAGAATAAAATTATAAATATATTTTAGTATACACAAATAATGAGCTAAGTAGCTCAAGAAAAATTGCTTCATATATCTTTATACCCTGAGATATAGGTATATTTTCTATATATGGTCTGAGTTTAGAGCCTATCTATAAGAATTAACCGCTCGGTGCAAAAACGCTACAAAATGTTGTATAAGATTGTGATTCAATGGCATACTTTGATCTTGTAATCAGCCGTTTTTGCATTGCATTTAATCAGTATACAATGTATAACGTGAATCTCACATGTACATGATGTATGTCTACAATGGATTGTGTGCTTACAACAGATCTGTTCAATTTTTTAATGTAGCTCTCGTATCGGAATTGAATAACCCACCACGTACTTTTATACAAGAAGTATCTTTTTTAAAAAAGATACTCGGCCGAAGTAAAACTAGTTATGTTACATATGTAAATTCTTAGTTTTCAATGCAAAGTCATATAGAAGTGCGTGCATAGTTTGTATAACAATGGCATAATAATTTCTTGCATGGTTAATAATCTTGAAAAAATGCACTTTAAGATGTATGTAGTTCTAAACAAACCTATCGAGTTTCGGTAAGTGAGCTCAATTTCTAAGACTGACATCTACGCAGTAGGTAGGGCATTTATTTCTATAAATACTTGATCAATAATTGCAAAATTATATAAGAATTAAAAACATTATATGAATTGAACACATTAATAATCATATAATATGTTTAACATTTATTGATCATCATAAACTAAAAGCACCTGATAAATTCTTATTTTATTCTCGTAATCTTGTGTAAAATAAACTCAGTCACGTTTTACGTAACAATGAATTGTTTACTAGATGAGATCTGAATGCAAGAAGTATTGATAAACAGAATTTCAATATCTGAGCAATTTGTCTAGAGAGTTAACTAACTATCCTTTACATTTTATTTCATAATGACAATAACTATCCTTTACATTTTAGTTTAGAACTTTCTAAGAATGACAGGAACTATCCTTTACATTTTATGTTGAATTGCCAATGAGATTCCCAGATTTTGGTTTATTATTTCAAAATGACCTATGAAACCCCTTTTTTATATTCAGATCATCCCTTATAAATTTTACAGGAGGTCAAACTGAAAACAGAGCGGCCTTCGGCCGGAAAAAAACATTTGCTTTCCTTAGGAACTAGTGATTTTCGTAGTTTTCATTGTTTTTTCTTAGCAACCAGTGTCTTCCAACGCAACCATTTACTCCCTAAAGTAACCGTTAACATCTCTTAGCAGCTAGTGAATTATATAGCAACCATGGACTTCAATAGAAGTCAATGACTTTCCTTAGTAATCGAAGACTTATGTAGGAACCATAGATTTTCTAAAGCAATCATTGACTTCTCTTTATAGTCAGTGACTTACTAAACAATCGTTAGATTTCCATAGACGTTACCATTGACTTTTCATAGCATTCCGTGACTTTTACAGCATAATTGACTTGTGTTTGCGCTAAGTGAGTTTCATCGCAATCGTTCTTCTTAAATAATAACCAGTGACTTCCATGCTAACAAATAATTAACTAGAGCAAGGTATTTTTTAAGATGTGCACTTTTTTCTAGTGCAGATTTAATCATAAATATCAGGTTCAATAAATTGACGGAGTTCATGCTTTTCATTTATACAAATGAATATAGAGTATCCGTTGTTAAACAGTATCTATTATCGCTTTGAATATATCAAAGCTGAGAAGCTTGTGAGCATTAAGTTATATTGCGTTTTTGTTTTGACAGAATCCGGCGAACTATCAACATCTGGTGTAAAAGGCAACGAAACTCAAGAATTGTTAGAAACGGAAATTGACGATGAGATCAGTACGGGCGTTACGAACACAACAAGCAATATAAAATCGGAAATTTTAGACCAAATTGAAATGAAAGTTACGTCACTTTCTCTTCAAGTTCAAGATCTAAAGAAAACTAATGCTGTGTCAGGGAAGGTTGTGACAAAAACATTATCAGCAGAGAAAGGCAGCCGGAAAAAGTTTGAGTTCGAATTGACAAATGCAGTGGAAAACATAAGCAATTCTGTTAGTGAAATGAAGATTGAAACAGAAAGCCTTATGAACAAAAGTAGTAATAAATTGATTGAAAGATGTGACAAATCATTTAAGATGATAAAGGAAGTTATAGTGAACATTAACCAAACAATCAATGAGAAAATTAACAATATAACCGATTCTTTAAACAGTCTTACAGAAGAATTGGCTGACGCTAATAAAAAAGGTATATTTCTAAGCGATCCTTTCAAAAAAACACCGGATTTTTTCGTTCAAAATTATTTTCTAAAACTCTATTTCGTTATGGTAACTAGTTACAATAAGGTTTAACAGTACTACTTTGATTTCCTTTTACTGAAAACAAGGTAAGTGTAAGAATCTTATAACATTATTCAATGTTTCAATAACCTATTGCAAGTAATAAAGCAAGTTTGACTTTTTTTTAATTGATTTAAGCTTTACGTTTGGGAGTGAATGGTATGATATCAGGTATCTGCATATTATTTTAATAAAACGTTTTCTTAAAACGTTAACGAACCTTACTTGAAATGAATAAAAAATGACAAGATAACATCCTCTTCTTGGTTTTATTGCAAATATTTTAACATTTAAAACCGTAAGCAAATAAAACTATCAAACAGTATAAGTCGACAAGAAAAGAGGCAAAATTAATGTGTGATACCTTGATATTTTAATTTCTAAAAACAGGTTTGACTTGTTGAATTTCTACACTCGTTGAGAAACAACATACCCAAAGCCAATCCGTATTATTCCAATAACGATTTGCAAAATGATACATATACATCTATGCTGTTAGAACACTAGGTCATAAGCTTACAAAAATTGATTAACAACAAACGAGTAACAATAGCAAACGAACGGAAATTATGTGTCATATCTCTCATCATCTGAGCTAATTACCAATGCCTTCAGTATATGGCAAACATTTCCCTATAATACAAACAATTTCTTTGAAAAAAAGATTTTTAAAACATACAAATAAATGTTTACGTAGGCATACTATGATATGTTAACAGAAACATCAGATTCGTATAGTTTTTGAAAATAGAGAAAGAAAAACAGAATTCGTCAAGAAAGTTTAAAATGGCAAAATTGAAAATATTGTAAGGTCGGTTTGATTGAGCCTGTTCATGGACGGTAGTGGTAAATGCAAGCCACCGTTAACGCCCCTAGCACCGACTAAAGCAGAATTTAACATTAAACATAAACTGGTAAAATTTTGAATTTTGAAACATTCGCCGATGTGTTAATATGGTGTTATGTAGAACATTTGATGTGCCAAATTAGTGTCATTCCTTAAAAAGTGGCATATAGTCCAAAGTTAAAAAAAGACATCCGTGCGCCCTAGACGGAAAAACAATGGTTGAATAGTTAACAGGATCAGTGAAAAGGGGATCAGAGGTTCTGAAGCTTTCATATCACGAATTAGCTGTCAAAAGACAAAATTAAAAAGCAGGAAACATATTTTAAGGGTGATTAAACAGTATACAAGTTAGGTATACTGGAACACTCGACGAGAGAAATGCCAGATTGAAGAGAACTAAAAATACCTAAAACATGCACTTACAACAATAATGTCGTAATGTATGGTCTCCAAGTATCGCAAATATAACGTTATCGAAAATATAACATTCTAATTGAATGTATTGGGAGACTTTTTACTGCCACACGTCAAAAATAACACTGGAAGCCTCTACAACAACCCCATAAGGTCAGCAATGAAAATGCAATATGGGTTATCATTTGTTTGCAAACATTTTTGTAGATCTTTATACATGTTTGCAAATATTGGAACCGGGCGTGTATACAAATATTAAAGTTGATATATGCAGAGAGATTTCAGCTCAGCTCTCTTTTATCTGAGGTGATGTTAAACATTTTCAAGGCAATGTTTATTTTTATTTGAAACATAACTTTTTGGTTGTGCGTGTGTACTGTTACGTTATGCATCATACCCTCTGGAGTAAATACATCCTCATCGTTAGAACAACACTCTGGTGAGGCATCCATTTGAAAGTGTCTACGCTCAAAAATAATTACGTGTGATTTCCTGAATAGGTAGATTCACAAACTTTAAAAATACATAGCTGAAAATGGAAAGCTCCGCTGCTGACCAGTGCAGCTTACTGGTTGGTAAATATAATCAATCACCCGGAAATCCAACCCAATAGTGATCCGTTCCATCGGCAAGATATTGCAGTTCATAACGTCATTATGGCAGTAGATACATTCAGTGTGTAACAATCACCATTTTTCGAGACGACATCAAAAACAGTAGAACTACATGTAGCACATCTTTTACAATAATCTACTATTCAGTGTTCTGCTCTATGTTATAATAAATCCTTTTCAAATTACAATTAACCAATGTTATGCACATTCAGACTCTGACGCTGTTTCAAATTGCGTCTGTTATCTTGCTTTATCTTATCTATTTTATTAAAACCCACTTCATTACAGAGAAATGCTAGAAATGCTTTACTCCCTTGACAAAATCGAATATTATCAGCATAATTGTACAACACATAGAACGGCTAGAATACATTTACAATAAAATATGTGTACGCAATTTAAAATTGAAAACTGTTCGCGGCATTCATTAATTTTTAAAGCATGAAAAACTTATATGTCGTGTCAAAAGTTTTGTTATTTCCAGTCGATGGTCAGTGGGCATATTGGTCCAGTTGGACCTCGTGTAGCGTCTCGTGTGGCACTGGAATGATACTACGGACAAGAAGATGTACAAACCCAATGCTCGAAAATAATGGAAAAGATTGTTTTGGACAAAGTTTACAGAGTAGTAGATGTTATAAACCATCCTGTTCAGGTAAAGAATTATAGGAAAAAAACATTCTAGTTGTGATTGCTTCAAAAATTGAAAAGTGGTTTCTGTTTCTAAACCAAACGTCTGTTTTTAGCACTTTTTTGTTCACTCTGTTTCTTTTAGGAAATTGAAACTATTTAGAAAAAAATATCAACCATAATATAAAAATGATCAGAGCATGGGTTTGAGCTTTTATAAACATAGCATTTAATTTTTGATTATTGTCGGGTAATATGTTGTGCTTTTAAAACACTGGTGTAATATTTTATAGTTGTTTCTATTAATTCTATCATTTAAAAAAAAATCATAATATTAAAAAAGATATCTCTGCGTAAAGCATATTTTAGTATCTCTATTTAGTCGTCTTATATCAAAAGCACCATCCAGTTAACTCAATTAGTAGACCGTTGGACTGTGTATCGGGAGACATGAGTTCGATTCCAGGACTCGGCATGTCACTTTCATTGTGATCGATCACGAAATTTTTCTTACATTCTCTAACGTTGCCCTGGTATTTACAGAAGTACAATCAGTTCCTTGCGAATGTGAAGGCACTAGCTAGTACTAGTTAACTGCTTTACAGCTTCTCCGGGAACTATGCAATGACTGAGATTTTCTCTGGTATATTTAAAATTGCTTACTGACCTGAATCATCATCACCATCTTTAGACCAGAGAATTATTACTTAACGTGGATCAACATAGATCTCATCAAAAGTTAAATGAAATAATCGTGATTTAATGGGTTTTAATGTCCCTGCGATTGGAGTCACTTCGTATTATAATTTTTATTAATTAAAACATGTTCTATACATGTGTAATGGATGGGTCTCTTCTCATATTATAAGGCTTATTTGATATTCGGGCGAATTTTGCCAAGCTTATGTGGTGCTTCTGATGTAGGAAATGAGACATTTCATTTCCAATGGTTATTTTTGACTATGTACTCTATTTTCGGACAATCCATAGAATCTACTCTTAATGTTGTTTGTTTGATTAGCTCAGTGGTCTTAAATATTATTTCCGAATTATTACATATAGTATTTATATCATTTATTATTTGCCAAAAAATATTTGTATAATATATATTTTATTTTAGCCGGAATGTCTGCTTTCTCTGTAAAAGAGCCTAAGTCCTACACTAAGATAGACCGCGTTGATAGACTGACTTTTTCAAGATACATTTACCAAATTGGAAATGATTTTAGTCCCTCAACTGGAACTTTTACTTGTTCTATACCTGGTGTATACTACTTTTCTGCAACATTGGTGAAAAAACGGGAATCATTTAGGGTTGACCGAGTTTATTGTAGACTGTACAATGGTGGAGAGCATCTGGCTACCATATCACTCGATCCAACTGACGATGATACAGACAAAGGAAATGCTGCTATAACCCAGTCTGTCGTAACTCATCTTAAAGTTGGGAACAAAGTGTATCTTACTGATTGCATCAGTCAACCAAGCAGAAATATGGAAGATTGGACCACTTTTACCGGATTCCTTATATTTCATACCGATTAACTTTTGAATTCCGTTTTAAAATAAAATATTAATATTGCTTTTGTTATCAAGCTGTGCACTTAATGTCATTACAACATATTTAGTCCCATTTGTAATAATACCAGGTATTAGCCAATGTAGATAAACAATTATTGCGTATGCTGAATGATATGTCTAGTCAAATTAATAAACCAAAATTCTAAAGAGTAAATTCATGTTAGTGTTAAATCGCTCTTTTGTGAAACCTATGAACAAATGTGCAAGAACAAGACTTATCATTATAATTAAGTATTATACATGTGTGTATTATTTTACTTTAGAGTAGATTGAACTCATTAAAGGGCAATGATGCTCTTTTTTAAGTCTCGCCAATACACAAACTGTTCAACTTTCACTATATCTGGCCTAGGCGCTTAGGTACCTTACAAGTAGTAGATTTGTCTTGTCTTGAGTATTCATATGTTTATCAATATGTTTAGTTTGATGTTTATATCTAGTTTATTGTAATACTTATTTTGTAAAACTAAATAAAAACTTAAACTTTGTTCAAAATCTAAATTAAAAGTATCCTGCGCATTACTAGATTAAAAAAATTAAGTTAGATATCATATGGTTTTGGTGAGATGAGAAAATACCTGTTTTACTAATGGTATAATTGTTAACAATATTATGCTACATTATAAGTGGTTAGTATTGTTTATCATCTGTTATTCTGTTATACCAATTTTTCTGATAATTGTATTTAACATAGTAGTGTTACTGATTCTGTACTAAAACATTGGACATTAAAAGTAAAATTTATAATTTATTCAATAATAAGTTGGTGTTCTTTTTCAAGAAATGTTTTGTAAAGAAAGTGATAAAGAAAATTCAAATAAAGTGTTATATGAATAGTGATATAGTGTTATATGAATAGTGATTGAGAATATCTAAAGTGTAAAAGCCGAAATGCATAACACGCAGTGTGAAATCAAGCATCTGAGAAATAAATCAATAAACCGTGCATATGAAAAACAAAATATAAAATCGTGCATCTGGGAAACAGATCAAATAAAAGTGACAAAATCTAGTGCTAAGACATTGGGCGCTATGACCATTTCCGGCACTTGTGCCAGCTCACTAGTAACCATATACATGATGAAAAAAGAAGACCAATGATGAAAGAGAGAATAACATTATAAATGGTTACTATGTTATAATATTATAATAACATTACTCTCTCCAGAAAAAGACATTTTAATTATTATATTATCATTGTTCTATATTTACACAATGTAAAGATTATATTGAAATATAATTTTGTTTCCATGTTATATGGGATTAATGATAATTGATTATAACTTGTATGTTTTTTTTATCTTTTTTATTCATTTTAAGTAGATTTCCTAGTAAATTGTTTTATACTTTACAATTTCATTCATATATCATATTGACGTGAACATTTTTACTATGATAATATGCTATTTCTATGAGATATCTTTAATACAGTTGAAAAAAGTGTGTATTGCAATATTGTTTTTCCGAAAAGCGATGTGTCGTAAAGTTGCATTTCACTTACAACTTTTGACATAATTGTTATGTTACATTGTATATTATTTTAAGAATTACTGGACATAAAAGTGATTAAAAGAAGCAATTGTTTTAAAATACACTATTCATAAACATTTACTTTTACTCAGAAATGAGGGCTTAAACGGTATTATTTTATATTAGAGTAGATCGAACTTATTTATTGACAATGATGGTATAATTCCCTTAGCCTGGCCAATACACAAATTGTTCAACTTTCAGAGTAGCTGACCTCGAAACTTAGATACCTTACAAGTAGTTGTCTTTTGCCTTAATATGTTTATAAATATGTTTTGTTTAATATTTACTTTCTAGTCTATTGTTATATTTATTTTGTAAATCTGTACTATTTTTATAATCATTGTAAATGATGCTGCTGCAAATTTGTAATGAATCATAATCAATTTTAGAATTGTAAAGGAATGACATGAAACACCTTAAGAATTTGTAAAGTAAATTCTGGTTGGTTGTCCGCAGACAAATCAGATAAGTTGTTGCATACATTGCTACCTGTATGTAGATGTGAGCTTCCTTTGGGATTCAGAAGTGCATTTAATCAGGCATCTCAAAGAGTTTTGACATTCTGCTTCTAATTTTTGAAACATTGACGTCTCTAAAAGTTGTCATAGATTAATTATTAATTTAATTTATTTTAAGCACTTATGCATATTTATAAATAAACATTCGAGATTGTCTCAATTGAATAAAACAGTGTTGATATTTTTTTTTACAGAAGTAATAGACGTCCTGCAGAATCGTAGGTCAATTTAAGGTCACTCATGTTTAATCTTTTTTTATTCAGGTTTATTTTTTTATTAATATTAAGCATATTAGTGTATGGTGAATAAATAGAGGATAAGTTTAATACTAAATTTATTGAACGAGTTGAATAAATGTATATAATGCGAGACTCTGGCGAGCATAATATTATTTCATTCAACGAGTTCAATAAATTTAGAAATGAACTTTTGAATTTAATATTCTCTTTTTATCACAAACCAAAAAAGACCGTTTGGAGTGATCAAGAAACATTTTTCATTGACGCGCCTATAGTATAATGCTAACATTTAGAGCGTCTTAACGCTATGTTTATATCACGCAAGTGACGTCACGTCAAAATATATGCGGTGTCGCAAAATCGGCACGAGTATGTGATAAAATAGTTAACGTTTATATAAAATTTAAACATATTATGTTGCTACTTTAATGTGACATTATGCTCATCCAAAGGTATGTATTGAGTGAAAAGGTGAATGTCATAACACGTTTACATTAAGCCATAATTCAATTTAATTTTATAATTTAATAAGCATAAAAATTAATGACTCATGCGGATAAAGGACATTTCTTTCAATTTCATTTCAATTTACATTAAAAAGTTCAATTTAAAAAATAAAAAGAGCGTGGCAGATTTTTATTTTAACCAAAACATTTTTCAGTATCAACTGTTGCTCAATCGCCGTTATTTCAGTTAATGTTTTGAATTATATAATCAATTCAGCTTGACTTAAAAAAAAAAGCATAACGTCACTTTAAGCACTATAAGTATGTATTTAAAAAGTACCAACATATCTATATAGTATGGGCTAATTATTCTTTATTATTTATGTTGTTTGCTTAAAAAGGCAATACACAGAAAACACAGTGTCATTACTTAGATTCCTAGATACTTATTTTGGAGAAGGGAAGCATGGACGAAAGCTTTAAAACGATTGGACCAGGACACTAAAAGCTCTGGCAACAAGAAATAATTATGTCTATGTATTATACATTTAATACCGTGACAAATGATTTGCCTCATGGTCTTGACTATGTTTCATGACAGAATAGATTATCAAGTATATAGTGGGTTTGGTAATTTCTCCATTCCACATTGTAAAGAAATGAAGTTTTTCTTTTGACAGGCGTTTATGCAGAAGTCCAACTATTTAAAATGACTAGGATATGCATTTCAGAAATAGAAAATATGTGTATAATTTGGATAACTGTTACAAAAATATATGATTGACTGAATTGTAGTCATGAAACTTCGTGCATGCCTTAGGTTACATATAAAGGTAACATAAAATACATCTTTGACAATTTAGTTTGCATGGATTTGAGCATATTTTACACTATCAAGTAAGCCTTGTAAAGTTTGTTGTATGTAATGCTTGCCAACATTTGTGTGTTTCTCGTAACAGAACTGGCTGCACATGTCCATGTACGGTACCCATCCATCTATTTCATAAGCGCATTTGAAAAGAAAATGGCACATAATAATTATAATAATAATAATAATAATAATAATAATTATCATCATCAACGCATCATTATCATCATAAATACTTTATTCTAGCGGCAACATAGTTAGGCAAGTCCAGACTTCCTTTTGAGCCTCTATCAAAATGAACATACAATTACACACAAAAGATTTATATAAAGTTTATAAACAAAAGAATACTTAATGTATACAACATAGAAAAGTAAAGTTATTAACTGAATCAAATGAAAATAAACATTTAAAGCATAAAATTGTCGATTTTATAAGATATACATGTACAATTATGTGTGATAATTAGAACATAGCTAGAAGTGTTTGATGCCCACTAGAGAACCACCATTTGAAATTATTATTTTTAAATGTTGTAAATTGGTGGAATGTCTTAATTTAAAGGGTGGGAGTTCCAATGTGTTATTGTACCAGTACATAAGAAAGGTGATAAGAATGATGTTAACAATTATAGGGGTATTACACTAGTTAGTTGCTTTTCTAACTTATTCACTATAATCTTAAATAAACGTATCACGTCCTTTTGTGAAAATAATAATGTTATATCTGATGCACAGTTTGGATTAAGAAAGGGTAAATCAACTGTAAATGCTTTATTTATACTGTTTAATATAGTGCAATATTATCTAAATGAAAATAAAAGATTATACTGCGTATATATTTGTTGATTTAAACAAATGTTTTGATACTATATATAGAAATGCTGTATGTGGAATTGTATAACTTAGGAGTACAAGTTTAATTATTAAGAATTATAAGGGACATGTATACTAAAGTTAATTCTTGTGTTAGGCCATGTAAAGATTATTCCTCGTATTTTGAGTATGCTATAGGCTTACGACAAGGGAAGATAATGTCTCCAGTATTTTTTTTCTCTATTTGTAGAAGATCTAGAATTGTTTTTACAGGAAAATATCAACTCCGGACTTGATGTAGAAGAAATTGTTTTACTTTTACTTTTATTTGCTGATGATATGGTGATATAAGGTAAAACCCCTCTGGAATTACAAATGCATTTAGATAAATTATATGAATATTGTCAAAATTGGGAATTAGAAGTAAATACAGATAAAACTAAAATTATTGTTTTTAGAAAAAGAGGGCGTGTATTAGAAAACGAGTTTTGGTCATATAATGGTAATGTATTTGAAGAACTGAATGATTTTAATTATCTTGGAACAGTTTTCAATTAAAC